AAAAAAAAAAAAAATGCACTGCCGTTGAGTCACCTCTGACTCATAGTGACCCCTCCTTGGATTTCCGAGGCCGAATCACAATGGAAGTAGATTGCCCAAACTTCCTTCCGAGGAGTGGCTGGTGGGTTTGAACCTCCAGTCTTCTGGGCAAATTGGCTGCAAAGGACCTCTTTCAAGTGCTGGAGAGCAAAGATGGCTCCGTGAGGACTAAGGTGCGCCTGACACAAGCCACAATAATTTCAATCACCTTATATGCATGTGAGAGCTAGACAATGAATAAGGAAGACTGAAGAAAAGCTGATGCTTTTGAATTGTGGTGCTGGCGAAGAATGCTGTAAGTACCATGGACTGCTAAAAGAACGAACAAATCTGTTCTGGAAGAAGTGCAGTTGGAATGCTCCTTGGAAGCAAGAATGGACAGACATCGTTTTACCTATTTTGGTCATGTTACCAGAATGTTCCATTCCCTGGAGAAGGATGTCATGCTTGATAAGGTTGAGGGTCGATGAAAGAGGGGAAGGCCCTCAATGAGACGGATTGATACAGTGGCTTCGGTGATGGGCTCAAGTATGGCAAGGATCGTGTATCTGGTGCAGGACAGGGCAGTGTTTTGTTCTGCTGTGCATAGGTCGCTATGAGTCAGAGATAACTTGATAGCACCTAACAACAGCAATAAACACTACAAAACAGGATCTAAAGTCTCTATGCTGGTAATTTGAGAGCATCCAGGATATGATCTAAAATTACTAGACATATAAAGAAGTCCAAAATGTGACAAACCTTAAAAGAGGGGAAATAAATGAAAAGTGACATTGAGATATTCTAGATACTAGAATTATCAGGCAAGGATATTAAAGTGGTTATTATCCAACAATATCATTAATATCACACGCAAGCAAAATTTTGCTGAAGATAATACAAAAACAGTTGTAGCAGTACATAGACTGGGCACTGCCAAAAATTCAAGGCAGATTCAGAAGAGAATTTACAACAAGGGAAATCTTTACTGATGTCAGATGGATCTTGGCTGAAAGCAGAGAATACCAGAAAGATGTCTACTTGTGTTTTACTGACTATGCAAAGACATCCAAGTGTGTGGATCACAACAAATTATGGGTAACATTGTGAAGAATGAGAATTCCGGCATACTTAATTGTGCTTATGAGGAAACAGTACATAGACCAAGAGGCAGTCATTCGAACAGAACAAGGAGATACTGAATGGTTTAAAATCACGAAAGTTTTACCATACTGAGCAAATAATCTGAAAAGCTGAACTACTTGAAGAGAAACGTGGAAGACTCACTAACAACCTGTGGTATGCAAATAACACAACCTTGCTTACTGAAAGTGAAGAGGACTTGAAGCACCTACTGATAAAGATCAAAGACTAAAGCCTTCAGTATGGATTACACATCAACATAAAGAAGATAAAAATCCTTACAACCAGATCAATAAGCAACATCACAATAAATAGAGAAAAGATTGAAGTTGTCAAAGACTCCATTTTACTTGGGTCCACAATTAACACCACAGAAGCAGCAATCAAGAAATCAAACAATGTATTGCACTGTGCAAATCTGCTGCAAAAGAACTTTTCAACATGTTTAAGAGCAAATATGTCACTTTGAAGACTGAGGTGTGCCTGACCCAAGCCATGGTATTTTCCATCACCTCTTATGTATGTGAAAGCTGGACAATGAATAAGGAAGACTAAAGAAGAACTGATGCCTTTGAATTATGGTCTTGGCAAAAAATATTGAATATACCATGGAATGCCAGTAGAATGAAAAATTTGTCTTAGAAGAATTACAGCTGGAATGCTCTGTAGAAGCAAAAATGGTAAGACTTTGTCTCTTGTACTTTGGTCATGTGTGGGAGGGGTAAGTTACTGGAGAAGGATAACATATTTGGCAAAATAGAGCTTCAGCAAAAAACAGGAAGATCTTTAACAAGATGCATCTATACAGTGGCTGCAGCAATGCGCTCAAGCATAGCAATGATTGTAAGAACGGCACAGGACTGGACTGTGTTTTGTTCTGTTTTCATAGGGATGCTATGAGTTGGAATCAACTCACCTAACAATAACAACATAACTATGCTCATGGATTTAAAGGAAAAAATGTTCAATTGAAAAATAGGAGGTATAAAAGTTATAGAACTAAAAAACTCATATATAAATTAAACCTGTGAGTTTATGTATCATCTTTTTGGTATTTAATATTTTATAGGACATTGACAGGATTCTAATTCCTGGATAGTATTTCTAATTATCTTCCAGGTAGTGATATTGCTATAAAAAATATCTATTTTGATGTAAATTGTTTGCTATTATTCTATTTTCAAAATTAAATTTATCTAACTGAATGGCTTTTGTACTATTTTCTTTCAAAATCTAAACATTAATTAATTTAAATACCAGACATTTTGTATTTCTTAACCTCTTTATGAAATTATTAATTATAATTATAATTAATAATTATCCATTATTAATTTCATAAATTAATAATTTATAGAGGGAATGTGATGTTGTTGTTGTTGTTGTTATGTGCCGTCGAGTCGGCCCCGACTCATAGCGACCCCTCCTTGGGTTTCCTAGGCAGTATCACTACGGAAGTAGGATTGCCCAACCTTCCTTCCAAGGAGTGGCTGGTGGGCTTGAACCGCCAGCCATCTGGTTAGCAGGCAAGTGTCTTAGCCACTATGCTACCAGAGCTCCCAGGAAATGTGATAAGCAGTTTTATTTGGCAATGTTATCATTTGCTCACAAAAAGATCTTGAACTGTGGAAGTAGTTAAAACTTATAAAACTAGTAATATCTACCATATCTGTAGGTGCACCACAATGAATTTCTAAAGCAAATTAAGGACAGAGGGAATAAAAATATTATTCTAAGTGAATTTGAATTATAAGTAATGAAGAATGTTTATAAAGTTACTTCTTTTTCCTATTTTGCTTTTTTTAGTGAGGATACTGGGCAAGATTTGGCATCATATTTTACTTTTTCACTTTACATACCTGGTAGATCCAATTTTATGCAAGGTAATGGTTCACCTCTCCCAACTGGACACTTATAGACATCTCCAGTTCTGTTCTTGGGTTGGCCGACTAAAGGAGAACCAATAAGCACCCTGGAAGTTAAATAACTCAATTAACATTTTGAACAGTGAGAGACATTTTATTTTAATTATTTTATGATTAGTTGTAAATAGTTCAGATCCACTGTCATAGAGTCAATTCCAACTCATAGAGACCCCCATTGGGTTTCTGAAGCCATATATCTTTATGAAAGTAGATTGTTCCATCTTCCTTCACTGGGGTGTCTGGTAGGTTTGAACACCAACCTTCTGGTTAGCAGTCAAATGCCTTAGGCACTGCACCACCAGAGCTCCTAAGTAGTTCAAATAATTCACTGCCACTGAGTCGAATCTGAATCATAGTGACACCTTCTGGGGTTTCTGAGGCGGTATCACTAAGGAAGTAGATTGTCCAATCTTCCTACCAAGGAGTTGCTGGTGGGTTTGACCCCCCAGCCTTCTGGTTAGCAGTCAAATGTCTTAGGCACTATGCCAGCAGAGCTCCTAGTAGTTCCCATTGTTGTTGTTGTTGTTGTTATGTGCCGTCGGGTTGGACCTGACTCATAGCGACCCCTCCTTGGGTTTCCAAGGCAGTATCACTATGGAAGTAGATTGCCCAACCTTCCTTCCAAGGAGTGGCTGGTGGGTTTGAACCGCCAGCCTTCTGGTTAGCAGTCAAGTACCTTAGGCACTATGCTACCAGAGCTCCCATAGGCATAATTAAATAGTCATCCTCTCTAAGTAATGTAAAGTTACCTTACATAGTGCCTTCTCCAATTAGTAGATTGACTTGAATGTGTGTAAAACAAACAAACAAACCAAAAAATTAATTAAAAAAAACTATAAAATAGATACAAGAGTGATCTCAGAGTAGCATTTATAGTTTTAGTTTAATAATATATATCTTTTTTATTATTATTTTGGGATGAACTAATCATTAGTTGTTTAAATTTGCAACTGTTAGTTTATACCTATTGAAGTCACTGAAGTATAAATGCTTTTTCCCACAAAGAATTAATAATTTCATAAAGAGGTTAAGAACTATAAACATATCTGCTGGAATAGTGAATAAGGCATTTGGCTGCTAAACAGGTCAGCAGTTCAAACCCACCAGCCTCTCTGGAAGGAAAATGGAGCAATCTACTTCCATAAAGATTCACAGCCTCAGAAACTCAGTGAGGGTCACTATGAGTTTGATTGGACCAGATGGCAGTGCGGCTTTTTTGTGTGGTTTTTTTTTTTTTTGGTCCCACTCAATGTAGTAGTTTGCAAGCAAAGATGCCATCTTGAGGACTAACATGTGCCAGACCAAACCCATGATATTTTCAATTGCCTCATATGCATGTGAAAGCCAGACAATGAATAAGGAAAGCCAAAGAAGAATTGATGCCTTTGAATTATGGTGTTTGTGAAGAATAATGCATATACCATGCACTGCCTGAAAAATGAACAATGAACAAATGTGTCTTGGAAAAAGCACAGCCAGATTGCCCCTTAGAATCAAGGACAGCAAGACTTCATCTCACATCCTTTGGACATGTTATCAGGAGGCTGGGCCCTGGAGAAGGAGACTATGCTTGATAAAATAGAGGGTCAGCAAAGAAAAAGGAAGATCCTCAACAAGAGGGGCTGAAACAGCGGCTGCAACAATGGGCTCAAACATAGCAATGATTGTGAGGACAGCACAGGCCCATGCAGCATTTCACTCTGTTGTACATGTGGTCACTATGAGATGGAATCAACTTGAAAGTCACTTGCAATTACAACAGTTTATAAGCACTTGGAAAATAAGGGCAGTTATGTGATCCAGATTAAAAGTGATTATGGGATTTTCTCTCTTTGTTTGACAATAAAAAAATGTATAAAATCACTCTATTAATAATTAATAGGAGGTCTGGTAGCATAGTGCCTAAGGCACTTGACTGCTAACCAGAAGGCTGGCAGTTCAAACCCACCAGCCACTCCTTGGAAGGAAGATGGGACAATCTACTTCCGTAGTGATACACCTCAGAAACCCAAGGAGGGGTCGCTATGAGTCGGGTCCAACTCGAAGGCACATAACAACAACAACAACAATTAATAATTAATAGAAATTATACAAGCATGATTCATTTTAGTTCCAGCCACTCATTTAACAAAGCCTGCCATAATATCCTCAGGAAGAGAAGGATGAATGTGGTTGAGTGGTTGAGTGTTAAGGTACTTGGGTAGATCCACAGCTGTTGATTCGTTGCTGATTGAACAGCTTTGTTCAAAACATCTGAGAGCTAGCAACCAAAGATGGAATCTAAGGATGTACCATTGACATTGCACTTGGGATTGTCTTAGTCTACATCTTTATTAATGATTTGAGTGAAGACACAGAAAGAATAAAAGTATTTATTATGTTAATCAATAAACCTATTTGAGAATTCAGAAGTATATCAACATTGTGATACAATCAACTTAAATAAATTAGTTAAAGTATAATAACAAACAATGTAAATGATTTCACTTAAATGCATAAAATTATAATACAGGATGTGGGAAGCCTGACTTAGCAAAATTCATGTGAAAAAGGACATGGCGGATTTAATTGACAACAAATAAACATGAGCCAACAGTGTACTTTAGTACAAAAATGCTGAGGTGACCTCAAGTTGCATTGCTGGAAATAGCTCTGGTGGCATAGTGCCTAAGGGATTTGACTGCTAACCAGAAGGCTGGCGGCTCAAATCCACCAGCCACTCCTCGGAAGGAAGGTGGGCAATCTACTTCTGTAGTGATACTGCATTGGAAACACAAGCAGGTGTCACTATGAATCAGGTTTGACTCGACGGCACATAGCAGCAACAACACTTGCCAGACGAGATGCTCAGGGGAAAATTGGGGATGTTTAGCATGAAGAAGAAATGTCCAAAGGAGAGTTGAGAGGTTGTATAGAGGTACAGGAGATAGTGCATAATTTTTTGTTTTTAATTTAAAGATTTGAAAGTGTATAGTTTTGAAAAGGGATAGGATTCATTTTCTAAGGTCCTTCAAGAAAAGTTTATATTAATGGAAGTAAGTTTTCTAATAATTACAATCAATGAAATGTTGAACAAACACTTATGATATAATGCCTTTCCAAAGCAATTTCTGATAGGCAAAAAGAACCATAAAATTTTTTTATAGCCTGTGATAGTTGGAGCTGTGTCAACTTGGCTGGACCACAATTCTGTGTGGTTTAAGTAGTTGTGATGTGGTTATTCCCATGATGG